CATAGGCTGAGTGTCAACACCCTAGGCTGAGTGTCAACACCATAGGCTGAGGGTCAACACCATAGGCTGAGGGTCAACACCATAGGCTGAGTGTCAACACCCTAGGCTGAGTGTCAACACCATAGGCTGAGGGTCACAACAACTTCAGCTATGCGTCAACACCATTAAATCTGCAATAACAGTTTAGGCTGCCTATCATCACATGATTGTTACAAAGAGTAAGGCCCACTTTCAACACAACCTCCGCAGTCTTTAATATTAAGGATGCACGTAAAAACCTCACGGCTACCAAACACAACCTCCAAGAATCTTTTTTCATCCCCAAGGGCTGGTTTTTTCTTCACACACAAGACTCCTCGTTCATACCACAAGGGTTCTGTATAACCCAGGGCACATTTTGCATGATCCAAGACTATTTTTCACCATTTTGCATGATCCAAGACTATTTTTCACCATTTTGCATGATCCAAGACTATTTTTCACCATTTTGCATGATCCAAGACTATTTTTCACCATTTTGCATGATCCAAGACTATTTTTCACCATTTTGCATGATCCAAGACTATTTTTCACCATTTTGAATGATCCAAGACTATTTTTCACCACATAGGACAATCGTTCATCTCTCTAGGCTCTTTTACAATAATAGAAGCTCTTTTATTTTTTATTTTTTAACCACCCAAAACTCTTGGTCATCGGCTAAAACTACTTTTCATCAAGCATAGGTTTTATTCGGTTATCCAGGGCTCATTTCCTTCACCCTTGGCTCGCTTCCTTCACCCTGGGGCTCGCTTCCTTCACCCTGGGCTCGCTTCCTTCACCCTGGGGCTCGCTTCCTTCACCCTGGTCTCGCTTCCTTCACCCCTGGGCTCGCTTCTTTCACCCTGGGGCTCGCTTCTTTCACCCTGGGGCTCGCTTCTTTCATCCTGGGGCTCGCTTCCTTCACCCTGGGGCTCGCTTCTTTCATCCTGGGCTCGCTTCCTTCACCCTGGGGCTCGCTTCTTTCACCCTGGGCTCGTTTCCTTCACCCTGGGGCTCGCTTCTTTCACCCTGGGACTCTTTGACCTCACTGAAGTCTTATAGTCGTTAAGTAAAATACTCCGGCAGAGAATAAGAGAGGTGAAGTGCTCGATAAATATATTTTATTTCCTCCGCTCTTCCTCACTCTCTCTCTCTCTTTTCTTGGTTCTTCTGTTCTCTCTCTCTCTCTCTCTCTTCTTTCCCGTTCCCCCTCTTGTGCTGCCTCTCCCCTCCCCGCGTGGCCTGGCCGAGCGGGTGTCGCTACACAGGGCTGTGTGACTGTAACAAGAGATTGCCTAGTCGGCAAAATTGCCTTTCTGGGAGGGGGGGGGGGGTCCATGGCAGAAAATACGAGCAGCTTGATTCTTTCACTTTGTTTATTCACACAAACATACTGTCACATATATGTACTTACACACACACACACACACATGTTTACGTGCATACGTACGCACGTGAACGTGCGCGCGCACGCGCGCACGCACACACACACACACACACACACACACACACACACACACACACACGTAACACCTAATCTAACTACTGAGGCACATACAAATAGGATTACGACAGCAGCGTACTCTACACTGGCGAAAATTAGAACTTCATTCAGGAACCTATATGAGGAGGCTTTTAGGGCGCTTTACACTGCCTACGTGAGACCCGTCTTAGAGTATGCCGCGCCATCATGGAGCCCCCACCTGAAGAAACACATAAGGAAACTGGAGAAGGTTCAGAGGTTTGCGACGAGGCTTGTCTCAGAGTTACGAGGGATGGGATATGAAGAGCGTCTGAAGGAACTGAACCTTACGACACAAGAGAAAAGAAGGGAGAGAGGGGATATGATAGGGACATATAAAATACTCAGGGGAATTGACAAAATGGAAATAGATGAAATGTTCACACGTAATAATAACAGAACGAGGGGACATGGGTGGAAACTGGAAACTCAGATGAGTCACAGAGATGTTAGGAAGTTTTCTTTTAGCGTGAGAGTAGTGGAAAAATGGAATGCACTTGGGGAACAGGTTGTGGAAGCAAACTCTATTCATACTTTTAAAACTAGGTATGATAGGGAAATGGGACAGGAGTCATTGCTGTAAACAACCGATAGCTGGAAAGGCGGGATCCAAGAGTCAATGCTCGATTCTGCAAGCACAAATAGGCGAGTACAAATAGGTGAGTATACACACACACACACACACACACACACACACACACACACACACACACACACACACAGTTTATAGTGTAGATATGATAGAGCCCAATAGGCTCAGGAACCTGTACACCTGTTGATTGACGGTTGAGAGGCGGGACCAAAGAGCCAGAGCTCAACCCCCGCAAGCACAACTAGGTGAGTACACACACACAGGGGTCTGGTAGCTGAGCGGACAGCGCGCAGGCTCGTAATTCTGTGGCCCGGGTTGGATTCCCGGACCAGGCAGAAACAAATGGGCAACGTTTCTTTCACCCTGATGCTCCCTGTTACCTACCGCCTCATGTGAAGAGCCGTCGTTGACTATTTCCAAAAGAGTTCTATGCATCTTGACAACTGACACATCCTCTCCCTTGGCTCTTTGTTAGAGGCCAAATTCGTACGAATCCCTATTTTCCCATTTCGTTAATCACCTATTTATGTTGGGGTCAAATGCGTAAGAGTCACAATTTAACAGGTGTTTGTGAGGGCTGCGTTTAATTTTTGCTTGGTTTGGTAAAGTTTTTGTCATGTGTAACTTGAGCTTCTCACTATTTCTCTTAGTAGCTCCCAAGCACATTATAAAAGTGAAATATATATATATATATATATATATATATATATATATATATATATATATATATATATCAATATATATATATTGATATATATATATATATATATATATATATATATATATATATATCGTACCTAGTAGCCAGAACTCACTTCTCAGCCTACTATTCAAGGCCCGATTTGCCTAATAAGCCAAGTTTTCCTGAATTAATATATTTACTATAATTTTTTTTCTTATGAAATGATAAAGCTGCCCTTTTCTCTATGTATGAGGTCAATTTTTTTGTATTGGAGTTAAAATTAACGTAGATATATGACCGAACCTAACCAACCCTACCTAACCTAACCTAACCTATATTTATAGGTAAGGTTAGGTTAGGTAGCCAAAAAAAGCTAGGTTAGGTTAGGTTAGGTAGGTTAGGTAGACGAAAAAACATTAATTCATGAAAACTTGGCCTATTAGGCAAATCGGGCCTTGAATAGTAGGCTGAGAAGTGCGTTCTGGCTATTAGGTACGACATATATATATATATATATATATATATATATATATATATATATATATATATATATATATATATATATATATATATATATATATATATATATATATATTGATATATATATATTGATATATATATATATATATATATCAATATATATATATATATATATATATATATATATATATATATATATATATATATATATATATATAGTTCATTTGGGAATTGATTTCCTTTCTGTTATTTATTACACAAGTGGGTTCAGGAGTGCAGGGTTTCGGGTTTTTTTTCCTGGAACACGACCCACCAATCAGTTTCGGTGCTAGGTCCCCAATTATTGCTGGATGAACAGGAGGCCAACAGTTATTTACTGGTTTCCAGTCAATCTTCCCTGGGTTTCGTCATGGAGCGTTGTGTGTGTGTGTGTGTGTGTGTGTGTGTGTGTGTGTGTGTGTGTGTGTGTGTGTGTGTGTGTGTGTGTGTGTGTGTATGTGTGTGTGTGTGTGTGTGTGTGTACTCACCTAATTGTGCTTGCGGGGGTTGAGCTCTGGCTCTTTTGTCCCGCCTCTCAACTGTCAATCAACTGGTGTACAGGTTACTGAGCCTACTGGGCTCTATCATATCTACACTTGAAACTGTGTTTGGAGTCAGCCTCCACTACATCACTACTGAATCCTTTCCATTTGTTAACTACTTAGGCGCTGAGAAAATTCTTTCTAATATCTCTGTGGTTCATTTTAGTATTAATTTTTCACCTGTGTCCCCTTGTTCGTGTTCCACTATGCAAAATAGTTCGTCTTTATTTACCCTGTCTCTGAGAATTTTGTAGGAGGTGATCATGTCTCTCCTAACTCTTCTCTCTTCCAGGGATGCGAGGTCTAATTTCAATAGCCTTTCCTCGTAATTCATACCTCTTAGCTCTTGGACTAGTCTTGTGGCATGTCCTTAAACTTTCTTTAAATTTGTCTCGTGTTTGACTAGGTATCGGTTCCAGGCTGGAGTTGCATACTTCAGCATTGGTTCGACATAGTTGGTATAAAACATTCCGAATGATTTCTTAAACAAGTTTCTAAAGGCAGTTATTATGAAAGCCAACTGATGAACCTATTGGCTATTCGCTGTAGACCCTTGATTTCTTCTCTATAAACGATAAAGGGGACTGCAATAATACATTTTCTAATTGAGAGAGAGAGAGAGAGAGAGAGAGAGAGAGAGAGAGAGAGAGTGGGGGGGGGGGAAGGGGATTGGCGGAAGGAGAGAGGAGGAATAGAGAGATGGGGATTTGGGGGGAGAGAGAAGATGGATTGATTGATATAGATTAAGCCACCCAAGAGGTGGCACGGGCATGAATAGCCCGTAATCTGGGAGAGAGAAGAAGAGAGGGGGGGAAGATATGGGGAGGGGGATATCCCCTAATCTATGAATGAGATTATGTGTATCTGTCTGAGGTTGAAAGGCAGAGCCATTGGCTAGCCTCACTCAACTGGTCATGGTGATTGGTACATTTCTGGAGAGTCTCTTGGGGTGTTCGGGTCAGTTCCTATGCCACTCGCAAAGGAAAATCGTCCTCTATACACCCTCTTCACATGGAAATATTACTTCGACCTGATGTAAATAATAAGATGTCGCTGGCGGGAAAATTGATTTTAAAGACATGTTTTTCTTATCAAATTTCGTAAATACGTTTTCCGTTGCAGATATAAAGGAGTTTTAGATGTACGAAGCGAACTCTGTCTGGTTAGTAATATTTCGTCCATTATAATTCTAACGAACACAAAATTTGAGAGACGTAATTTCAGCCTCAAAATCGTTATTCAGTATCAGAGATTTCCCCTTAAAATTCTCCGTTTTCAAGGCACTGGCCAGTGACAGAATTTTCCACTTGGAGGGTTGCCTCCACGCCACTAAATCAAGCCCACAGCTGAAGCAGCGAGACGCTATATCAAAGCTACGTCGATATTTTGGTCTGGAAACTGAAGCTCCACCTCGCAGTCTTATAAATGTCAATGCAGATAAGGGTTAAATGGCATTTTGCAAATTTGTGACTGCGTCTGGTAGCAACAGTCTGGATAGTTATTTGTGAAAAAGAGACGCGGGAGGTGGTGGTAGTCTCTTACATCTTCCTGTTGCCATCTTAAATCCCCACTGTTTCTGTTTTCATCCCGGCAGCACGGGAGCTCTGCTGTCGTCCTGGTACAAACATTTAGTTGGAAAAGTCGTGCGTTTGTTCTACAAGCTGCCATCAGCCTTACTCACGCCGGCGATGGAAATTAGAATTGCTTCGCAGCAAAGATAAACCGTTTCAACACGTCCACATCCCTGTGTCTGGAGACTTGGACTCTTGTTTTGGTCACACGGGTCCTGGGCACACGGGTCGCGGGCACACGGGTCCCGGGCACACGGGTCCCAGGCACACGGGTCCCGGGCACACGGGTCCCGGGCACACGGGTCCCGGGCACACGGGTCCCGAAGCCTCATATGCGTGGATTTCAACGTTCCAAAACCTAATATTCGCCGTTGGCTGCGTGAGAACCTGTCTCGTTCCCTCACCAGCAACTTGGGTTCCAACTCTGAAGTTCTCCTCGCTTCCGGATTCCAGAGTCTAAGACCCCTATCGAGTGAGTGTTTTGTCTGCCGTCAATAGGCTTGTTTTCTATGATAAGGATTGTGTTCTATGTAATACATGATCCCAAAACTCACCGTTTGTTGTATGCAAATTGATCCTCACCTCTATCTACGTATATAAATATCTAGATCTATGTGTGTATAGATATATATATATCTATATAAATATCTAATAGATATTATCGTATCTATTGATCCGGAGAAGCTAATTATATTAATGTGCGGTAATAGTCAATAAATCATTTAATTTTGCAATGTCTAACAGTGTTTGTGCGTTAGTAAGGAGTACTTACTTACTGACACAGAGTACCTTAGTACTTACTTATTGGCACTGGCACATCGTCGGTCTCGCTTCATGCAGGTCGGCGTTCAATCCCCGACCGCCCATAACTGGTTAGATACCATTCCTACCCCCCGTCCCATCCCAAATCCTTATCCTGACCTAAGTGCTATATAGTCGTAATGGTTTGGCGCTTTGACCTGCGGGCCACACAGGGAGGAGAGGCGGGCCACATGGAGAGGAGAGGCGGGCCACATGGAGAGGAGAGGCGGGCCACAAGGAGAGGAGAGGCAGGCCACATAGAGGAGAAGGGAGGCGGGTCACATGTTTACACACCTGCTTCAGTGAAATCCCTTAGGGGGAAGGAAGCAACGTAAGCTCTCTGCAAATACAACAAAAACCTAAAGCATACACATGAGTAAATATGTATTTTGCACGATACCAGAAAGGCCAAGATGCCTTACGGTACAAAGTCTACGTAAACTAGTTGCCAGGATTATCGTAGACTCGGTGTACCTTTAGTGGTTTACAAGTCACTAATTTAGTGCCCATCGGAGTTGAGGTTAAAACCATACGGCAGTGAGTCAAGGACAATATTGACCAACACTTCGTTGTCATATTTTCATGAGTAATGAAAGTTATAATATCCGGTAAAGCTGCAATAACTGGAAATTCAAAATGACTTAAAAAGTTAATATAATTTGTGAACCTGATTAGGCTTTTTATCTTGATTTATTATCACTTGTTAAGAGTGTGTGCAGTTTGCCTACCCCCCCCCCCCCTTCCCTCACGCTGTTCTCTCCTCTCACTGTCTGTTCCTCATAATGCACACTTCTCACACTGCTCACTCATCACGCTCCTCACTCCTCACACTGTCCACTCTTCTCGCTGCTCCTCATACTCCAAACTCATTACAGCGTTCTCTCCTCACTCTGCTTCAGACTGCAGTGTGACCAATTCCCTTGTTGTTTAAGCTTCGCTACCTGGAACAAAAAGTTCCAAGTAGCACGGGCTATGGTGAGCCCGGTAGTTATCTCAATTCTCTCTAAGAGCATCACAACGGTTGGTAGTCACAAACTACAAACTAACAACACTGAACTAACCCAGAGTCCCCGGTAGAGCAAAATCAAGTAAGTAATTATCAAAACATCATCCTGAATTCCAGACATTTAAAAAGAACAATTAGAAACAAAATTGCATCCGGAGTGGTGATAAAGAGAATTGTTTCAGTGGGAACACACACACTGGATATTGGCCTCGTAAACTGACGCCACAATACTTGAATCGGACGAACTGACAAGAGAACTTCAGTTTAATAAGCCACATGTTCAGTCGTGGCCCCCCCTAAAGCTGCTAGTTTTGAGGCTTCTCTGGGTTAATCCCTGGAAACACAAATCGAAACTGTCTCTATTTTCCGCTTGTTACAACTTGTAATAAAGTTGTTACATCTTGGCTTACCGTGTTTATGACGTATTAGAACGTTGTTACAACTTGCTATATTGGTTGTTATAACTGGTTAGGTGGTGTTAAAACTTGTTCGAACGTTGTACCAACGTCGTAGTTTCGGTGTGTGTTTGGCGGGATGTCACTGCTGTGTCCAACAGTGACCCGCGCTGCTGTGAGGTACGGCAGGACGCAGGCGGCTGCAGGTTGAGTTTTTTTTATTATCGGCAAAGGGAACTCGTGAATGCCAGGCACCAGAGCTCAGGCTAATAGGTTCGGACAAAGCCAGCTGTTGGCACACAAAAGAAAAACCTTTACCGCAAAATAAGTAATGTGTGTGTAGGTGGATAGCCAGAGGAGCCAGGGGCCAGGTGTGGGGACGCTCTGCTGCGTGGCCTGGCACCTCTGAAGGCCTGGACGTGACTGGTGTGAAGAGGCAGATGTGTAGCCCTGTAAGTGGCTGTATGTTACGGCGCGGTGGCAGGTGTGAAGACCTGGACGTGACTCTGTGATGTGGAGAGGCAGATGTGAAGACCTGGAGCCTTTGGGAATGATGTATGCTCCAGACCTGACAACCACTTCCCGCCAAACACACACCGAAACTACGACGTTGGTACAACGTTCGAACAAGTTTTAACATCTCCTAACCAGTTATAACAACCAATATAGCAAGTTGTAACAACGTTCTAATACGCCATAAACACGTTAAGCCAAGATGTAACAACTTTATTACAAGTTGTAACAAGCGGAAAATAGAGACAGTTTCGGTTTGTGTTTCCAGGGTTGGGCTCGATGGTAGAGCGACGGTCTCGCTTCATGCAGGTCGGCGTTCAATCACCGACCGTCCAAGTGGTTTGGGCACCATTCCTTTCCCTCCGTCCCATCCCCTATCCTTATCCTGACCCCTTCCCAGTGCTATATAATCGTAATGGCTTGGCGTTTTCCCCTGATAATTCCTTCCTTTCTTCCTGCCTTCCAGACCTGACGTAGCTCATTCATAATGTATAACTCGACAGGAATATCATTGAATATTTCTTGTTTTGTCAACATTTATACCAAAACGAAAAGTTTATTTCATGAAATAAGGAAAAAAAAGTCTGCTACATTGATACCATTTTGATTAACTTAGGAATCACCCATATTGTTCACTCTAAAAGTCATCATGTCACAAATCATTATGTCCACTTTTAGGGATCACTATGTTTCTCACCATATTGTTTACTGTATGAATCACCATTATCTTCTTATATATCATTATTATTATTATTATATATTATTATAATATATCTAATCATATATATTATCGTATGAATTATCTTCTCAAGAAGATACGATAACCACGTCACTCTATATAATGTTCAATCTTTAAATCCCTTTGTTACTCACAATATATTATTCACTGGTCATTAATCCGGGATGCTCCCGGACGCAGGTTCGAATCCTCGTCACGGCCCTTGTGGATTTGTTCATTTGATGCATCACGTTAGTGTGATCTCTGTGTGTGGTTCACTGGTCATTGTTCGGGGACGGTCACAGGTGGTAGACACACAAAACACACACAAACACACACAAACACACACACAAACACACACAAACACACACAAACGAGGGTATAAACAGACGAGGGTTTCAACTACACACAAAAAAAAATCCAGCTATAGCCAAGAATATCAAAAGGTGACACAAAGGCGCTCAACAATGGTCGCCAAGATCCTGCCTACTGTAGACCTACGTGCACAGTAGACCTCATTGTACCAGTCGTATTCAAGATATATAGAAAGAACCCAATAAACAACAATTTTGTATAGGAGGATAATTTACAAAAGGTCTACACGGGAGGCGGGGTTTATATTTATATGTAGCAGCTTGGCACCAGGGGTTATAGCACTCGTAACGGAGGACTTTCAATGCTCTCTATCAGATAAACGACGTCAGCCCTCTGACCTCGCCACCAGGAAATATCCCTCTTCATTCTGTTGACAAACGTCACTGACACGACATTTCTCCAAACTGATTCACGATGAGCAGCGGAGTATACATAATATGGGAGATTCTTTTGATCGTGTCGTGGTAGAGTGGACTAGAGCGCGTCTGAGAATATCCAGTGCTTAGGTTCGAACCCCCTAACATCAAGGCGCTTGTGGATTTGTTCATAGGAGATGTTCTCCTCGAAGACCCAGCAGCCATGGCCACCAACACCCTCGGGGGGGGGGGGTTAACAATCTTCGTACAACGCTTAAAATGCACAACTGCTTTGACGCTATCGACCTTCGGCGTCACAATCGCAGTGGCGGAGTGGGCTACAGAACACCGTGATGGTTGCTGGGGGACTAGCGGGCGTGTGGGGCCGCCACACGTTTGGTGGGTTGGTATTGGGGTCTAACGTTTCTGATTAAACATGAACACTTAATTATACTGTAAGGCAAGGTAAACCTTACAGGCTGATTCGTTGCACCGATTAAATCAGCTCTGATTTCCTTCCAGTATTTAAGTAAAATTCTGATCCAAGCTTCCTGTCAAATCAACCTGGCATGCTTTTCAAGCTTCCGCTTGATCAAATCTGAGCCCAGATTCAAACTTTCTTAAGTCACTTCTTACACCAATCCAAGCTCAAAAAAATCGAACCTTTTTCAATTTCATGGTAAAAATCCCTCCCAAGCTTTCCTAGACCCAAC